CTTCTTCCCTGAGCCAGGGCATTGAAAATGGGTCGTGGATGGGTGTTCCAGCATGACGATGACCCAAAACACACGGCCAAGGCAACAAAGGAGTGGCTCAAGAAAAAGCACATTAAGGTCCTGGAGTGGCCTAGCCAGTCTCCAGACCTTAATCTGATTGAAAATCTGTGGAGGGAACTGAAAGTTCGAGTTGCCAAACATCAGCCACCAAACCTTAATGACTTGGAGAGGATCTGCCAAGAGAAGTGGGCCAAAATCCCTCCTGAGATGTGTGCAAACCTGGTGGCCAACTACAGGAATCATCTGACCTCTGTGATTGCCAACAAGGGATTTGCCCCCAAGTACGAAGTCATGTTTTGTGAAGGGGATGAAATTCTTATTTCCCTCATGAGCATGCAAATCCGTGCATAATTTGTTAGACATGCATTTCTTTTGAATTTTTTGTTGCTATTCTGTCTCTCAATGTTACAATACATCTACCATTCAATTTTTAGACTGATCATTTCTTTGTGAGTGGGCAAACATTCAAAATCAGCAGGGGATCAAATACTTATTTCCTTCACTGTACAAGGGTGGCTCCACACGTTGCAAAAGAAAGGAGCTACAATGAAAAAAGAAACCTGGAGCAGTGACCATGGCACCAGCTTAAACTGGAACAAAGGCAAAGATTGAAAGGATAAATAAGCTGTATATTCAGTGATTAAATAAACTGTTGAAAGTTTGAGAGAGTTTAATATCAGTTTAAGTTGTTTTTATGCATTTTAGGAGGAAACTCAGAAGCTGGTAGAACATTATAAACAATTAAGCAGCAAAGTCAGAGGGGATTTTGAAGAAATATAGGACTATTGTTGGCCCAGGCTCCTTGTCGTAGCATACAGGGGTCCCCCGGTCCAACAACCTCTTTATAAACCAAGGGAACCATTGCACTATTTGCAGTCAATTAAATAGATATTTGGATCTGCGAAGTAAGAGAGCACATGTAATGTTCTCTCAGAGACACCGCTCTCTCCTGGTTCTCGTCCTATCTATCCCAACGCTCCTTCAGCGTTTCCTACAACGGTGCCACCCTCCTCCTCACTCCCCCTCTCTGTTGGGGTCCCCCAGGGCTCTGTCCTTGGACCCCTTCTCTTCTCCATCTACACCTCCTCCCTTGGCAAACTCATACACTCCCACGGCTTCAATTACCACCTCTATGCCGATGATACTCAAATCTACCTATCCACCCCTCACCTCACCCCCACATTCTCCGCCCGCATCACTCACCTCCTAAACGACATCTCTGACTGGATGTCGCTCCATTTCCTCAAACTCAACCTCTCCAAAACCGAGCTTCTCATCTTCCCCCAGCCCCAGCCCGCGCCACCCCCCCCATCCTTTCCATCACTACCAACAACACCACCATCAATCCCGCCCAGCAAGCCAAAGTCCTTGGCGTCATTCTGGACTCAAACCTTTCCTTTCAACCTCATATCAAATCTCTCACAAACACATGCAGACTCCACCTCCGCAATATCGCCAAGATACGCTCCTTCCTTACCCCAGACACCACTAAACTACTAGTACACTCCCTGATTATCTCACGCCTGGACTACTGCAACTCCCTCCTCACCGGCCTACCCCAGTGCAGGCTTTCCCCGCTTCAGACCATCCTGAACTCAGCGGCCAGACTCATCCACCTCACCAGCCGCTCCACCTCTGCCACCCCCCTCTGTCTCTCCCTCCACTGGCTCCCCATTGCCCAACGCATTAAATTTAAATTGCTCACCCTGACCTATAAGGCCATTCACAACACTGCCCCTAACTACCTCACCGACCTGATTCCCAGGTACCACCCTACCCGTACCCTTCGCTCTTCACAGGACCTCCTTCTATCTTGCTCCCTGGTCTCCTCCTCCCACGCACGACTGCAAGACTTCTCCAGGTCCTCCCCCATCCTCTGGAACTCACTACCCCAATCCATCAGACTGTCACCTTCCCCTCCTCACCTTCAGGCGCTCCCTGAAAACCCACCTCTTCAGGGAAGCCTACCCCACCCTCACCTAACAGCCGCTGCCCTTCCCTCCTCCTACCACTTCATCCCCCACAGCCGTTTCCTCCTGTGCCTCTACCCCCTCCCTCCTAGATTGTACGCTCGAAAGAGTAGGGCCCTCTAACCCCTCGTGTGCTGTTTGATGTTACTGTTCTGTTTCATGTATTGTCCCCCCTCTATTGTACAGCGCTGAGCAAACCCTTTGGCGCTATATAAACTCGATAAATAAATAAATAAAATAAATAATGTTCACTGAGTGGAGAATTATATTTAGCAAAGGGAATCCAGACACATTTACAGCACATATGAGGAACAGAAAAGCAATGAAAAGATTTTTTTGTTCATTAGTAAATATCTTACTATATGGGGAAGTGGGGCTGCAACAAAACTCTACATAAGGTTTTAGCCTCCTGTCTATCAGTTTCAAATCCTTGTCTGTTCAGGCAGCCACAAACAAAACCTCTTTCTAGTGCACTGTCATAAAATGAATCTCTAGCAGGCGGAAACCCAAAGTAAAATCATGGTGGCCAGGAAACCCACCCCCTCTTTTTCTGTTCAGGCTCTAAAGCCCTAAAACAGCAGATGCAGTGTTCTGCTAACTACCCATCTCACTCTGGAGCCTGCAACTAATGAATTACCACAGTCTGGGCACGAAGTATGGACCTGTCCATGATTATTCTCTGGGTCAGCTGGGGCCTTTTGTCACAAATATACACATATATACTCTAATTTACAAGTATACATTTAATGACAAAGGAATAGAAGAGAATCATGGGTTATCTAAACACCTCAGCAAACCCTGTCTGCTTTAGCGTGCATCAAAACCCAGAACAAACGTATGTAAAATTTAATATACGCAGATTAGCGTTTTCTGTAGTGACTGCATTTGTTTCCTTTTTCAAGCTTATCTTGCTTTATTTTCACCTGCTAGTGCTGCAAATAAAACACAGTTCATGTCCCTGGGTGGCCACATCACTTCTCTACTGTATCCATTGAGGGCGTCATGGTCATCACCCTAGACTGCTCTTCTGATATGCACTCTAAATGCGTCCATATCTCATCATTTCTATTACATGGAGGGCAGGGCAATTGGTAGTTTATGGAAGATATCTAGGAAGAAGATATTCTTCAGTGCAGCTCACAGGAATTGACAAGGACACTGCATTCCTGCCAAAACCAGGTATTTTTGTATTTGATTTTCATTTTTTCCCCCCACGCTAAGAACATTTTCAGCAATTCAGCCATCACATCTAAGAGCTAAAACTATAACATTTTGCATTTTTGTATGTGGGTTTAGTTCTCCTTTAAGGCTTTTTTTTGTCTTATTGAAATTTTGGAGTGGGCTGCCCAAGAAAAGGATGAGTTACTGCTCTGTGCATGCACCACAATCTGCAGAGCCTATAAACATGCTGTAAATAGAGGAGGAATAAAAAGGAGCAAATAGAATTATATGCTGGCTAACATAATACAATATATAGATATTTAATTATTGGCAGCAAAAAAAAAAAAAAAAAAAAAAGCCATTAGGTCCTGACAATATTAATAAAAAAAAAAAATCTATAAAACCACTGTACACGCCCCAAAATTACCAAAATGTTTTGTGGCTTTATTTTAGAAACTACTAGAGATGAGCGAATCGAACATGGCGAAGTGGAATTCGTTTTGAAGATCAGGAAAAATTCGATTTGCGCCGAATCCGAAAATTGGCAAACTTCGGATGCACGAATCGAATTTTCCCAAAAATGGCGGCGACATGTGTGGCGACGGAGCGGGGATCTCTGGGAAGGCGCGCAGACAAGGCACGCTGACCCATAATGCATTCACTCATGACATGTGATCGCATTAGCCAATCAGCAGCCACCAGCCAGCACTGTGTAATGGTGGAGCTATAAATTGCGGCCATCTTACAATTCTCCATTAGCCTCCGGTCATTCAAGAGAGACAGACCTGTCTGTATTAGGGACAGAGTTAGGGCCAGAGAGACTTTAGGGCCACAGAATTGTTACTCAGGGACACAGAATTGTTACTCAGGGACAGACACAGAATTGTTACTCAGGGACACAGAATTTTTACTCAGGGACACAGAATCGTTACTGAGGGACACAGAATCGTTACTCAGGACAGGGACACAGAATCGTTACTCAGGGACACAGAATCGTTACTCAGGGACACAGAATCGTTACTCAGGGACACAGAATCGTTGAATTAAAGAGTATGTCAGACAACACGCAGAGGAGTGGCAGAGGAGGCAATGTTTCAGGAGCGAGCAGACGTGGCAGCAGAGGAAGGGGTTGAGGCAGCACTAGTCGCAGCCAGAGGCCAGTGCTCCCGGTGTCATCCAGCGGTCGTGTCTCCACCGACAACCCTGCCGTCATCGATTGGTTGGCTCGGTCGTCTTCCTCTTCCCAGGTCACCTCTGACACCTACAGCCAACGGTCGGTGGGTACGTCAGACACAACCGTTAGTTGGCATGGCCCGGGAGCAAGCCCACTGAAATCACGTGTCCTCTACCTGCCCCTGTCCTTTGGTGTTCCCTCACCAAGCGAAGTATCGCATGCTGTGGGCTCAGCCCCACTGTACAGTGAGGAAGAGCTAACAGAGGGCGGTCAGGAACGGGGGAGAGACATCCGCCTCTTCAGCAGCCAGGCGAAGAAGTAGTGGCGAGGAGAGTGGCTCGGTAGCCGGTCTAGAGACAGGTCTGTCTCCTGACCCACACGCAGCCGAGGGGGCTAGTAGTGAGGCGGAGACCCTAATTGATGATGATGAGGCTGATCGCACTTGGCAGCCTCGTCGTCATCTGCCAGGCCCGTAATCTGCCATGGGCCCCCGTACCGACTCCTCATGATGCTGCCAGGCCCGTAATCTGTCATGGGCCCCTGTACCGCCTCCTCAGGCTGCTGCCAGGGCCAGAGTGTGTCATGGGTCCCTGTACGGCCTCCCATTGCTGCTGTCTCCATCGCCACACTCTGCCATGTGCCACTTTCAGGTCTCCTCACACTGCTGGTGGGTTCCATTTTGTCATAGGGTGCTGGCAGATTACGGGCCTCCCATTGCTGCTGCCAGGCCCGTAATCTGTCATGGGCCCCTGTACCGCCTCCTCATGCTGCTGCCAGGTCCAGAGTGTGTCATGGGTCCCTGTACGGCCTCCCATTGCTGCGGTCTCCATCGCCACACTCTGCCATGTGCCACTTTCAGGTCTCCTCACACTGCTGGTGGGTTCCATTTTGTCATAGGGTGCTGGCAGATTACGGGCCTCCCATTGCTGCTGCCAGGCCCGTAATCTGCCATGGGCCCCCGTACCGACTCCTCATGCTGCTGCCAGGCCCGTAATCTGTCATGGGCCCCTGTACCGCCTCCTCTTGCTGCTGCCAGGTCCAGAGTGTGTCATGGGTCCCTGTACGGCCTCCCATTGCTGCTGTCTCCATCGCCACACTCTGCCATGTGCCACTTTCAGGTCTCCTCACACTGCTGGTGGGTTCCATTTTGTCATAGGGTGCTGTATGGCCTCCCATTGCTGCTGCCTCCACCGCCACACTGTGGCTCCACACTCTGGTTTTGGCCCCGTGACTGCCCAAATGAGTGAAGTGTGCGGTGATTCTAAGATCGACGGCACTCATCTGCATGTCATACTGACTGACCGTATTATTTCTCTCCCCCAGCAGACTCCAAGGGCATTTAAATTAAAGGTACAGTGTTCTGCACACTAATAAAGGCTCTCTGAAGCCTAGAAACACCCTTTTTATAAGTTAAATTCGCAGCGAATATATTCGACTCGAATCAAATTTATTCCGCGAATTCGCCGAATCAGCCGAATCGAATTTTTGAATAATTCGCTCATCTCTATAAACTACAATAGCAGACTTTAACTTCCAGATTTTACCTGCTGATAAAGTAAAGGACCGACAACCTCCTAAAGTAGCTGAATGACTGCTGTGTCAACTATAGCTACAGTACATTTTGAATAAGCAATCCAAAAGAAAACAGATCAGGAAAGTCGAGCTGGCTATAGACGGAGCAATTTTCTTTCCTGCAATCATGGGTTGCAGGGAGAAAACAAACAAAAATAAATTGCTCAATTCCTGCAGCACTGACTATGTTGATGGGGGAATCCCTCCCACGGAGACATCCCCACTGGGAGAACCCAATGATTACAATAATCGCACATAAAGGCTGACAGGCTAGTTCTACTCAAGTTGATCGATCGGGACAGCTTCCCCTGCCGGAAGAAGACAGTGATTACTGCTAGCGGCTATAGCAGCTGTTAGGGATAATCACAAGTGAATCCAGCAGGCTGATTGTAACAAAGTTGATTGATCCATCAACTTGGTACATTCAGCCTGCCCACACACATTTCGAATCGTCTATGGCTGGCCTTACTGTTTTTCTGTCCTAAATCTACATACCAGCAAGTGATGAAGCTTCCTAAGAAATCCAGCAGGGGCTAAGGTAAGGCCTTGTTCTCAAAATCAAAGAGAGCTTTTATTTCCCTGCAACAGAGGTACATTAATTGTATATTGGTACATAGGGGAGCTGGAATTTAGAGAGGGAAAAAAAAGGTGAACTTTAAGACAGCGCATTATTTTATTTGCCTTTTGCTCATCTTATGCACTAGTGGTGTGTGTGTGTTTTTTTTTTTTTTTTTTTTTTTTAGTGCAGCTGTGGAAGATTTGTTTTAGAAGCACCAAGCGCAGTTTTTTCTCTTCATTTTTGGGAATACTTGTTCTATGTCAATGACAATGTAATTAAGTCAGAAACAACATAACAACATGACAACTCCGCAACTACCATTTTCAGAAAGCAGCAACTACTACAGTGATTTACAGGAATTGGTTGGGTATAAAGACATGAAGACTTACATTGGTCTAAGCTCCAAGCTGGACCAATGTAACTATGCAATTAAATGTATATCTAAACTCCAGTTTTAAAGTGTGAGTAGTGCAACCCTCTGTAGCCCACTCATGCAGATCCCAACAAACAGTATTTCCAGTTTTCTGAAAAGACAGACTATTCATCACTCTGTGATAGACAGACAGGGGCAGCGCAGAGACCTACCGTTCCTTGTCAAAGTCAGAGGTGCTATTTTCTGCTACAGGAGCCAGAAACTTTAGGAAATTTGGCACAGAGGAGGAAGACTGAAGTTTCTTGCGTAGAGAGGAAGAGCGGTAGAAAAGGCTGAGAGCATAGTTCAGATGAGGGAAAAGCAAGAAGAAAAGAAAAAGAAATGAAAAAAGATCAGTGATGACCAGCTGTAAAATCCAACCAAAGTCCCACTATACTGGATCCCAATCAGAGTTCTCCCCAGGTTAGCAGAGGCTACCTGTTTATTACTTGCGGCTGTCACTTACATGACACTATAGTTTTCCTCTTCCGCCTGCTACACTAAAGGTTAAGTAGGGAGGCAAATGGAGGGGTGGAGGAGCTGGGACAGCCAGAGTATTTAGACACTCCCAAAAGAGGAGAGGGCTATGATAGGCAACAAGGAGAGGACTGTGCTAGGGAATGGACTCTCTTGGAGCCACATTTCCTAGCAAGTGTAAAGGGACATTTCAAGTCAAATAAAAATAATTTGCAGAACGAAAAAACACTGAACGTAAGCATTTAAAAATACTTCATTTGTCTGTGTTTTTTGGCTGAAAAGTTTTAAGGGTCAAATCAGTCTACATGAAGTGAGCCTAGGACAAAATAAAAATTGGAGCATCCACTTCATGAGAAAAATGTCTAAATAGCTTCTAATTTTGTAATAATAATAATCAGGGTAATAAGGGTATGGGAAATTAAAGCGGAGCTCCACCCAAAAGGGGAAGTTCTGCTTTAAACCTTTGTCCCCCGCTCCCCATTAAGGATTGGCACCTTTGGGGAGCGGGGGGGGGGAAGCGTGTACCCAAATTTAACAGGTTCCCACTTCAGCTGCGATCGCCTAGCTGATCGGAAGCAGAAGTTGTCCTCCCTTCCTCCCCCCCCCCTGTAGTCTTCTGGAACACGTGACAGGTCCCAGAAGACTATGGGGCCATTTACAAAGCGCAACGCTTCTCGCACATGCGTAGTGGGTGCCCGGCTGTGAAGCCACAAGCTGTCACAGCCGGGTGCCCCACACTGAAGATGTCGGCACCAGGGAGAAAAGACAGCTGGTGAAACCAGCCGTGGTGAGGACACCGCTGGACCGAGGGATAGGTAAGTGTCTGTATTTTAAAAGTCAGCAGATACAGTTTTTGTAGCAGCTGACTTTTTTTTTTTTCTTTACAGGTGGAACTCCGCTTTAAGAAGGCAAGTACAGTCTCACAATGCCCTTCTTTCCCACTTTGTATTTTTGGGAGGATTTTGCCTCATTTCAATGATAGTCTTTGGCGGTAAGAAATATGTATGTTTTTTTTTCTGCAAAGCAGCAAGCACTGTTTAACAATAAAACATTTTATACTAAAGAAAAAAAAATTCTGAAAAATACAAAATGCACTTTACCAATCCAACATACGCTCTACTATCCCGTTATTCACCCATTCCTGAACAGTTAAAAAAAAAAAAAAAAGTGTGTTGGAGAAAGGGCTCTTAGACAAGATAAAAGTGACAAAGACTGACCACCAGATGTACTATTGCTAATATAATAGACCATCTCAAGTTAATTACAGGTTGTTAGCATATCAAAAAACAGGGAGTGAATGCACCACAAACCACATTTACATGCACTTCAAGCATAGGTTTCCCAAAGTTTCATACCAAGCCTAAATAATGACTAGCCATCAATCATTATTGGTTTCTACCATGTGATATTTAAACACACTTCCAAAGCCTTTACAAATCAAGCATACATGCAGAATGAGTTCAGATGGAAAATTAAGGAGGCAAGTACAGTCTCGCAATGCCCCCCTTTTTTTCTCACTTTAGTTTTTTTGGGAGGATCTCCCCTCATTTCAGTGATACACGGTCGGTAACCAAATATATTTTTTCAGCAAATCAGCAAGGATTATTCAACAATAAAAAAAAACAGTTTATTAGAAAAAAAAAATTAAAAATCCAAAATACACTGTACCAACTCATCATTCACTCATTCCTGAACAGTGGTTTTTTTTTACTATACCTCCAATGCCTGTACAAACCAAGCATACACGCAGAGAGAGCTCACATGGAAAAAGACTTGTTAGATTGCAGTCGATCGTTACATGCAGGACAAAGCTGCTGCACACATCTCTGCTCACCTCTTCTGTGTGCCCACTGCCGAGGGCTCTCCACCTGAGCTGTGCCTTAGCTTCCTGAGGATTAGGGGGGACGAGGTTGCAGTGGCAGGAGGAGACGGGTTAGCAGCTTGCTCACACTGTGCTGTACTGCTCTCAGGCACGCTCGGTTCTGTGCTGGAACTAGACACCAGCATTCCAGCCAACCAGTGAGGGGAGGGGGGAGAAGACACATTTCAGCAGAGGTAGGAATTACACCGCAGGTGAACAGATGGAAGTCTTCAAAAGGAAGACTGATTTATTTGCATGGACAGAATTTTATGCACATATCTACTAACTTCACACACCCTTTGGCCATAGACCCCTCTTTCCCACCCAAGTAAAATAAAGGACATTATGTATTCTAAAGAGATCAGAACACCATTCTGCTTACATGGTACCAGTTTACAGCAGAGAAGAGCGAGCTGAGCTCTTGGACATACCTTCTTTTTCATCCGTTCAACAGTATTTTCCTGTACTCAATTTACCATAGCCTACCATAGCCTACAGGTGGTGATTGCAGGAGCCAAGCTAAAACCACAAGTTGTAGATGCTAGTATAATCCGCAGGAGGAAGTCGGCACCTGGGATACATTCTAAAAGCTGCTTCCTTTATTGAATTGCATGAATACAGCAGTAGAACAGATTAAACACAAACATGGCAGTGCATGAAATTTTTATATATATATATATATATATATATCTCAGAATCAATAAAATAGAGGTGGAGGATCCCGCAGAGGAAAGGATCACCTTTTGGGATTAGCACTATTTGCAATTGTTTCAGTTCTTCTTATTGGACGATCACTGGCAGGACTTTTTGTTATATTATTGCACGTGGCACTTTAATGAGCACCATTTGTATTTAATAGTTATTCTAAATATTTTATTTATTCCAACTTTTGGGTGCTGTCACTCCCCTTTTTAGTGCAAGCAGCTCCAATACTCCTGTGCTCGCCATTCATTTTCTGATTAGCTGTAAAAACAGCCAACTTGTTGAAGCCCTTAGGCCTTAAGGCTGAAACGCGTTGGTCGTTTTTACAGCTGTATACATACACTTCCATAAAGGAAAACTGTATTTGAATGTATCCAAGGGTGCTGACCTTTCCTCCTGTGGATTAAGCATTGCAGAGGCATTGGAAGCCTCTCAGTCTGAGCACCGGGGTTGGTGGTATGGATTGAGAAGATGATAGTGGTTTCACCTGTTTCCAAAGATGCTAGCAGGCCTGTGTTCAAGGTGAACCTAAGGTTTCCATTCACAAACTAGTAGTGCTTTGACCTTCACCTGTCACTTATGGTGAAGGTAAGAAATTCTGGCATTTCGATTACTGAGAGGGGGCATGCCAAGTTTGCAATAGGGGTCTGCACATTCTAGACAACATAAGGGATGCAGTGGTAAGGGAGTTGGCTCTCAGAAAGATGCAGTGTCTGGAGTACAGTGTGAGGAGTTCTGGGAGGAAGGGAGGTTTAGAGTTAGGGGTGCAGTAGTAGGAGTGCTGAGTGGCAGGGAGACGTAGAGGGTCAGGTGTAATGGGTTCTTCATAAGCCTGAATGCAAAATCTGTCTATTTGCAAGTCTGCAGGGATTCTTCTCCAAAAGGGCACCATAGGATATGGTGCAGGCTCCTAGACCACATCACCCCAGATCCACGATAAATGTAAGGGTTTCATTCAAATGGGGAAGGGGGCATTGGAATTAAGTTGTTTGAAAGTGTAGTTAGCCCTTAGGGCCCCTCTGGACTTATGAGTTGTTGTACCATTCATTCATTGCACATTACCTTACCGCACTGTATTGCTGCCATTCATGTGCCAGCCCAATGCACATGTATAATGAGGACCAAGGAGCCTGCTCTGCAGTGCACACAGTCACTCTCTGGCTTGAAAGTTCACAACACCAACCCACCCTTGAGGCCTGTCCAGGAAGACTGCTGCTAGCATCTGGAGCAAACTGTCTGATTTACAGTGGAGTCAACACTTGCCACCATGCCTGCAACCTCTTTACTCCTCCCTGTCACCACTGTGAATGCACCATGTCTGAACCAGCCCCCCCAGGACTCCGATTGATCCCCATCCCCTTGTACCACAAATTAGACCTATTAAAGTAGTTACTGAAAACCCCAAATGATTTCATAATCATGTCATCAATTAGATGAGAATAATATCATATAGTAACAGTCTGTTGATGCAGTGAGTTTTTTTAAACACTCACATGGGTTCAATTCCAAAAAAGGCCACTATCTTCATGATCTTGTATTCTCCACATGTCTCTGTAGGTTTACAATGGGTGCTCTTTATATTGCAATCTAGTAAAGTTTGGCATGTGGCATGTTTGCTGTGCTCCGAGTGCATGTGTTATTTGGAGACGTGTCTGTGCATTTTCCATTGACCCTAAACAATCTATACACAAAAGGTAAGCTCCATCACGAAAGAACACATAACTAGAAGCTACAAGGGTTTTAGTTTTGCAGGACTGGAATGGTTTTAGTTTTGCAAAGAAAATGTCGTTTTCACACACTATATTTACTACAGCAATTTCAGACACTTTCTATGCATAAAAAACAATCTAGCCTCATTGATAAATTAATAAGACCTAAACAAACTTAGGTTGTACTTTATATGCTCTCATCTGATCCCAAACCTTTATGCAGGGAGGCAACGTACAAAATGACGTGTCCAGTGTACACAGAGAGTGTCAATATTGCTCTGTAACTTTTCAGTTCATAATAAATGAGCCATCAGACCTAGGGCACAGGTGCATTTCCCCAAAAGGGCCCATTCACACTACAAAGCACATAAAACACTCCAGGATTTAACTGCAGTTCTGCGCATTTTTATACGTTTTTATGTGAGAGCTTCCATTTTTCTGCATAGTTTTTTTTTAAAGCCATACTTCCACTGACCTAATTAATGTGGGTGAAAGGATAGATGTGGTGCAATTTTTGCACATTTATGTGCATTCCAGAATATTATGCATGTTACCAAAAAAAAAGGCATAGCTCTGGAACGCAGAGAAACGCTGCATTCTGGCGTGAACATGACGCATAGAAAACTTCTGCTTTTTATGTGTGATTGCAGTTATCTGCATTTTTACATGAGGAAACAATACAGGTAACGGCCCATATGGGTTGATTTACTAAAACTGGAGAGTGCAAAATCTGGTGCAACTGTGTACAGAAACCAATCAGCTTCCGAGTTTTTTTTTTTGTCAAAGCTTAACTGAACAATTAGAAGTTAGAAGTGGATTGGCGACCATGCACAGATGCACCAGATTTTGCACTCTCCAGTTTTAGTAAATCAACCCCATAGTGGGATCAGTCCCAAAGTATAAGCAAGTGTCTAACTGTATCAACTGAAATATAGTGTCCATTCAGTATACATCATTTAACATGCACAACACTGCAAAAAGACCTAAAGATAACTGCAAGTTGTCTAAAATGAGTACAATTGTTTTTCAATTAAAAAACCAACATATACAGCCCTTTACCAACAATCGTAAGAGATTGACAACCTTAATAAAACAACAACAAAAAAAAGCCAACAATTATCCACAGTGTAACATAAAAACTTATGACATCAGGAAATAGTCATTTTATAAGAGATCCTTTGGTTTTTCTTTTTTCGCCAAATTATACTTACCTAGGTGAATGGAGCATCGGTCCAATGCTGCATTTGTACCCCGCTGGCCCTAAGGATGAGGACTCAGCGAACACATGACCGTTGATCGATGAGTTCTCACCACCGCTGTGAGCAAGGAGTGGTGACTGTCAGTCACCTCTGTCTGCTCTGTCCCCCCACTGCGCTCACTGGAGCGCTGGGCTGTGGAGGGGGAAGGAGCAGCTGGCTCAAGCTCTCAGTGGCTCGCTGAGAGACTGAGCCAGATGCCACTCCAGATTCTGAGGTTGATCCCAACTTTAAAGTCGGGATCTTTCCCCAGATTGGACCAGCTGAGTGACGTCATCCAACAGCGGGCTTCAGCTGTACTTCTATTAAGATCACCTAGCTGTACACAATCAGATGCAAGCATACCTCCGGGGGTCACTTACTGTAATGAAAGGACACTGCAATATTTCCTTCCTTTCCTGCAGTTCCTAACATTGTCACACAGTTTAGAAGATTCCGACTTGCCTTACATTGGCTGTCAAAGGGACCTCCCTCTCTAGTCTTCGAGTTATTAAATCATCTCGCTGTGTGTTCCATTACACTCCCAATAATTTCACAATTTCAATGTTATAGAGACTGTTACGTTTTATTTATTTATTTCAGGTACTTATATAGCGCCGTCAATTTACACAGCGCTTTACACATATATATTATACATTCACATCAGTCCCTAACCCTCAAGGGGTGTACAATCTAAGGTCCATAACTCACATTCATACATACACATATTAGGGCCAATTTGGATAGGATCCAATTAACCTACCAGCATGTCTTTGGAGTGTGGGAGGAAACCAGAGTACCCAAAGGAAACGCACGCAGGCACAGGAGAACATGCAAACTCCAGGCAGGTGGTGCCGTGGCTGGGATTCGAACCAACGACCCTAGTACTGCCAGGCGCAAGTGCGAACCATTTAGCCACTGCGCTGCCTTGTTACTTTGGGGCAGATCGCTCCCCAGCCTGCTAGAACCTAAAAACAGGTAATGTAGGGGTTGTCTTGACACTGTAGTTGCAAGGATTCAGTAGGTAAACCTGTGTGTCAGACTCCACATTTAACAGAAATCACTTTGGACAGACCAAGACTGAAGACACAAAACAAGGCCAGTGCTGAAGATGAATTGGAGTGTTGGCCCATACAATTCTATGGTGGATCACTGCAGAGACACAGCTATGCCAAAGAAGATTTCTTCTTAGAGGATCTAATCACTGTAGGTGGTATGGTGGCATACAACAAAACTGGGTGGAGGGTTTCTAGGACTGTTGTGTTAGTGCAGGGGTCCTCAAACTACGGCCCGCGGGCCACATGCGACCCGCCGAGGCCATGTATCCGGCCCGCCGGCAGGGGCGGGACAGGAAGGGACACTAAGTACAGGGGTGGCAGGGGGCTGCTGTACCTTCCCTGGCTCCGATCCCAGTCCCACGATGATCTATTCCAGGAAGCGCTGCTCCTTCATTCACTCCGGCCACTCCCTCACTCCTGCCGCTCAGCTCCGCCTCCTCACCGGTGATTGGGCGCAAGAACTGTAGCTCAGGAAAGGCACACAGGCGGCCAATCACCTGCGAGGAGGCGGAGCCGAGTGGCCCCCGCGAACATCGAGTGAGGGAGAGGCCGATGTGAAGAAGGACAGCTGACAGGTAAGTGTGCCGTGCAGATGGTGCTGCTGCAACCAGGTATGCTGGCTACAGCAGCACCATGCTGGAACAGGGATCAGCAAGTTACATGTCATTGGGAGGAATAGTGTCCCATCATTGGTGCCACTGATACTAATGATGGGGCATTATTCCTCCACTGACACCAATGATGGGACACTATTCCTCCCACTGACACCAATGATGGGGCACCATTCCTCCACTGACATCAATGATGGGGCACTATTCCTCCACTGACACCAACGATGGGGCACTATTCCTCCCCCCAACTGACACCAACGATGGGGCACTATTCCTCCCCCCAACTGACACCAACGATGGGGCACTATTCCTCCCCCCAACTGACACCAACGATGGGGCACTATTTCCCCTCCCCCCACTAACACCAACGATGGGTCACTATTCCTCCCCCTCACTGACACCAACGATGGGGCACTATTCCACCCCCCACTGACACCAACGGAACACTATTCCTTCCCCCACTGATACCAATGATGGGACACTATCCCCCCCACTGACACCAACAATGGAACACTATTCCTCCCACTGACACCAATGTTGGGACACTATCCCCCCTACTGACACCAATGACGGGGTACTATTCCCCTCCACTGACACCAATGACGTACTATTCCTCCCACTGACACCAATGATGGGGCACTATTCTTCCCATTGACACCAATGATGGGACACTATTCCTCCCACTTACACCAATGTTGGGACACTATCCCCTTCCCCCACTGACACCAATGACAGGGCACTATTTCCCCCCCCCCCCACACCAACGATGGGGCACTATTCCTCCCCCCCCCCCACACCAACGATGGGGCACTATTCCTCCCCCCACTGACACCAATAATGGGGCACTATTCCTCCCACCACTGACACCAATGATGGGGCACTATTCCTCCCACTGACACCAATGATGGGGCACGATTCCTCCCACTGACACCAATGATGGGGCACGATTCCTCCCACTGACACCAATGATGGGGCACGATTCTTCCCACTGACACCAATGATGGGGCACGATTCCTCTCCCTGATACCAATGATGGGGCACTATTCCTCTCCCTGATACCAATGATGGGGCACTATTCCTCCCACTGACACCAATGACGGGGCACTATTCCTCCCACTGACACCAATGACGGGGCACTATTCCTCCCACTGACACCAATGATGGGGCACGTTTCTTCCCACTGACACCAATGAAGGGGCACTATTTCGCTCCATAAGACACTTGGGGGGAAATGTCTGTGCATCTTATGGAGCGGCCGGCCCAGTATTCCCGCCGCCGTTGTATGTCCGCAGTCTCTGGTCATCTCCTGTACTGTGTCCGCATTTGTTCATAGTTTTTTTTTTTTTTAAACTATAGTCCGGCCCTCCAACGGTCTGAGGGACAGTGAACTGGCCTCCTGTTTAAAAAGTTTGAGGACCCCTGTGTTAGTGGAACAAAGGAAAGATGGACCAGTGAAATTTTCTGTTGCCATTACACACACACACAAACTTCATTAATCTTAATGCTTCATAATTATATCATATGCTGCAAAGAAAATCTGGGGTTAACCATTAAATCTGTTCTCTCACGCCCACTTACTCCTTGCAAGAACAAGATGACACACAAGACACAAAGAACAGTTCGGATTTACAGTTCGCGATAAAGTCAGTCGGCAGCATCCTGGTGAAATGCCCAGTACTAATCACTACTGCTGAAAGGCCCAATTTCAGACATTAACTGTACTCGTTTGTCACTTTACATTTTTTTTTTTTTCTTTGTTTAACTCCCCAGGGGACCATGTGCATTTAGTACTTGGTCCTACTCTGACTGGAGGTCCCATCATCCCCTAAACACACCTCTTAAAATGGAAACTAAACCCCCCGATGATTTCCTCTAAGGAAGCAGTCATACTAGCCATTCGATGGGGTTGACAATCAAGCATAAGCACACTAGTAACAGTGTCCATTGCCCTTCCTGGCAAACCTTGAATGGAACTGCTTTGGAATACAGTTAAAATTGGTGGGTTTAGTTCCGCTTTAATGCTGGCTGTAGCTTCACCCATTTTGAAGCCCAAATTATGGGTGTTCCTGTTCCAGTACATAAGCCAATATAAAAACAACAATAAAGACAAATGGGACTGCTGTCTAAATGTAGCAGATAAGGTAGTTTCACTTTTCTATGAGAGTGAGTCGAGAAATAAAACTGCCTACACCCATGTTTTACCCTAGATTAGGTTGGTCAATGGTAAGCAGATTGGGTGGGGAGAAATCTGCCTGTGCTTGATTGACCTACATGAGTAATAAGACCTGCTGTGATCTTTGTCCAATGATAGCTAAACATACATCCTTCTGATCTTTCAAAAACTTCTCCACAGAAAATCAGCTTTGCTTACAAAGAGATTCTTGAACACCTACAGAACTTTTTCTAGCACTGCCTGACTGTCAAATGCTCTTAATTGCCCTCTTATAGCTCATTCATTCATCGAAACAAACAGCATCTCTATAATGACCCATAATGGTTGCCATGTGTTATTTCCTGCACTCTGCACTTCATTATTGCACTTTGTAATTCCTTACTAAATCAGATTAGAGTGAAGGTAAAGTAAGCTTTCAACTAACCCAGTCTGTCCGTCTATTTCTCTCCATCTATGCACTGTACAATAAAAACTAGAAAAGCTACAATTTCTGGGGAAATTGTGTGAAGTGTTCTTGCCTCCACCAGTAGTCTACAACTCACACTCTAGCTTTTGTCACTCTGCTGCCTGCTCACACACCTGGGATCCTATGGCAACTCACTCTACAGCAAGGCCAGAGAAGAGCGGTTAAAAACAAATTGCTCCAACTTGCTCACTTTACTGGCAGTTGCCATTTTCAAACAGTTGTAGTTTAAAAATTATACATCCTACACTGAAGAGCTTTATATTGTAAGAATCACAAGACCAAGACCTACATTTTGATGCATAGTATGTCTCTGAAATATTAAAAATAAAAGGCACAGTCGCAGTTTAGAAATTGCCCTTCAAATTTGAGGTGGCTAGAGTGGAGTTTCAATGAATGTCAATGGGCGGCGCGAGTTGCAAACAAATGGTCATATTGTGAAAACTATCAAGACTATGGCTTAGCCGTGGACATTTTTAGTGGCAGCAGGGATAGCTGAAGATTGTGATATAAGATTTGTGTAGGTGGGCTTGAAAATGAGGGAGTGATGGCAGTTTAGAAATCATGTCCTGATTTTTCAGCTCACACTCTAGCTTTTATCAGCTCCAACTAGTTTTGAACATTCCGCCATTCATTCCTATGGGACCAATTTCACCACAAAAACGCTGATATTTCATGAACCATTCGGCGAAACGTTCTACAAAGTAATAGCACACCAATCAGGAACAATCCGCACGTTTCCGTATATTACTGTCTATGTAGTGTAAAAACTGTGGGAGGAGTTAGGGTGGTAAATTTGGCTATAATAATAAGAATATATATGTGAGATAACAGTAAGTGGTCTTGCAATGGAAGAACACTTAACAAGGGCAATTTTGGAATCTTGATGCTTGCAGCTCTCACAAATTTTTCAAGTATTCCTTAGCTGCAGGTCCTGGGCATTAGCCCAAGTCACTGAAAGCATCACAATAATTTTGTAATTTTGAAATATTTGGCTAAAAAAATAAAATATACTAATGGTAAATAAAAATGGCCATAAATATAAATAAACAATAGAATAAATGTAAAACTTGAAAGATTACAATGTACCCAGTTTTCATTACTAATTGCATTTGTATTATTCTAAATCCTTGCCATCTGTGTGACTTCATCAGATCAATGCATCTTTTGGAGGCTTTAAAAAAATGGTGATATGTGAAGATTTTGTCGTGGTAATTTCATGGAAGAAAGATTTGGTTCACAATACAGCATGGCGATCTGTTCTAGTGACAAGATGTCGGCTTTCCATCTCCAAACAACAATACAACATTGTCTTTCATAATATGATAAAAAGAGTACTCACTTTCTTTTATGCGGAGTCTCGGTGCTCACAGAGTGATGTCGCATGAGCTTCCTCTGTGGAACAGATGGGGTTTTCTGTACGGGCTCTGGAAAATCCTGAGCTGTGACAGGAAAATGACTTAACGTGTTAGCTCGGCGTCGGAATCCTTGATGACATAATTCTCCAGGATGATCAGATGGGAAGCTCTCTGCTCCTTTGGGTAGGTCGCCCATGGAACCATGTGCCTTTAGAGGCATTTCAGGAGACAATGCTGCCTCCATTTCGCACAAGGAAGACTCCTAGAATTCAGAACACAGAATTCAATAAACGTAATTTATTACAATACTGCATATAGAGTATAGGCAACAATAGGTATGAGGACCCTTCCAGTTACAGCTTAGAGTCTAATAGGGGCTTTCTAATGCGAAGAGGAATGTACTTTTAAATGAGAGGAGCAATGTGTCCATCCCCTGCCAAAGTCCATCCTGAACACTGCCTAACTGCATGGTTATGTACAATAAGGGTGCACCAAAGCAGAAGTCCTGGATAAGAGACTGCATTAAAACCCAGGCAGCAGTTTCTAACCCTACCACACTATCCAAAACCTAAAATGTTTTCCTGACATTCTCCCTTTCAAAGGAAAGACAGGAAACCAGACCACAATATGAGAACATACGGCAGCTTTTTTTTCTAACTGAACATTCCGGATTGTAAAATGATAATAAGGACAGTTAAAGTTAAGCTTTTGCACATTCCCTCTGGGTATGTATGATCAGCACTTTAGAAAAGGCACACAGGGGAGCTTTAGGAGGATTGAATTTTACAGAAAAGTCACGTTTTGCATATACTTTTATCTGCCAATCACTGATCTACTGGCATGAAGTTTTCAAGGTATCTCCTTACAATCTTATGCATTTTTCCCTATCATATGCTTGGTTTTCTTAGGCATCGTTCAGACTACATTACATGTGGCAGAAAAAACTGCCGTAACTCGGTAAGTGAAAAAACAAGACAGGAAGCACACATGAATTTTTCCACATAATGCAGTATGTATGTGGGAAAATGCTATCTCTTCTGGAAATCTGTTTATTAAAAGCAACAAAGATAAAAAAAAAAAAATGTGTTTTTTAATGAAAGGGTTATAGGGTTTCCAAATTATAATATATATATATATAATCTAACAGCCAAGTAGTGCTTAAAGTGATTGTAAGGGTAAAAAAAAATGGTAGACTGCTCAAATTTCCTCTATTTCCTACTTAATTGGCTGAAATTTGAGTTGTAGGAGGTCCTGCAAGTATCAACCGGCTTGACCATAGCGGATTAAAAATAGACTGAGCCAGATTGAAAATTGCTGGCTGAACAATGACTGGAACCAATCAGTTGCAGTCACGGTTTGGGTATTTAGGCAACCACAGGTTTCAGCCGCAGAACACAATAGCCAGCAGGGGAGATTCCTCCATCCATGCTGTTTAGTAAGGAGGAGGGAATCAATTACGATTGTTTAGCTGGCGGGGTTGAACGAGACAAATCAAGCCACATATGACTAGCCATACTAGGGTGATAGATTTAAAGACCATTCAAAAAAAGCTATTTAAACACAGGATTCACCTTACTGCTGTACTCCAGGGGAGTGCACAGAGAGCTTTCATATTCCATACTTCTGGAGCTGTCCTGCTGACTTCTGCTCCTATTCCCCTGGAGATCAACAAAATATAAAATGACAAGTTGAAATGCAACCCAGGAAAAAAAAAAAAAAAAAAAAGGGAGTATAAATATATATATATACAATCTAGAGAACTTTTTTTTTTTATAAAGCATCCTCTTAAAACATCAAATCAAGATCAGTATTCTGTAAAATGAGTCTCAGATAATGAAATTCATTGTACTGCAAAACCTAACTATGGATGCTGCAAGAATTTATAGACGATTTTCTCCCCTTTTATATTTTATTTTGGCAGGACTCAAGGGAACAGAAGCCAGAATGCTGCAGTGCCAGAAACATTCCAAGCCTCTGTTTTGTACAAGGAGTTGGCACAAAAATCGAATTTCTATACTTAGAATGCAATCTAAATAATCAGCAATGGAATGATCAGAAAAATAATGTATACACATTTTTCAGATCAGTATCTACTGAATCAAACAACAGAAAGTTAAATAATACCATATACTGTAAAATGTATTTAATCTATCCGTCGTAAATCAAAAAAGGCTTGACTAAGTAAGCCAACCTTGCTTGTCTAATTTTAAAGGCTTAAAAAAAAAAATACATCTAATTTACCATGTCCCAGCTATGTTCCTTTGTTGTAACCGATCATGTAATATAAAGCAAAACAAATCATCTCAAAAAGGCGCAGTGCTTGTATACACAGGCCCTCATGGCCAGGAGGATGAGTTTAATGTGCAGAGAAAAGCGTTCAGACACAGGAAAACTAGAATTTGTAGTTTTCCTTTCTTAAAAAATAGAAAAATTGGGGAAAACAAGAGGATTATCTGCTGCTCACTTCTATTTTAGTTGACAAAATGCATGTGCAATATTTTATACTTGCCTAATAAACAAAAAAAAAAACTACAAAAAAAACAAAACAAAACAAATATATGCACTGAGCATACTAGAACACAATATTCTACAATGGTTACCCTTATACATACAAAAACACCTTGGGGGTTATTTACTAAAACCAGAGCGTGCAAAATCTGGTTTCTATGCAGAGCTGCACCAATCAGCTTCCAGGTTTCATTACCAATGCTTAATTGAACAAGCTGAAGTTAGAGGCCGATTGGCTACCATGCACAGCTGCACCAGATTCTGAGAGCTCCAGTTTTAGGCCTGTTTGAGCATCTGCTTTTTAAAAATGTAATTTCAGGCGCTTGTTTTGTGCAAATTTTTGTGCACAATATATTCTTAGTGAAAATTAATATTTATGCTTATATGCGCTAGCATTTGCATATATTTGATTGCATTTTCGCACACGCTGCGTACATTACGGACCAAAAATGCAGATTTTCCTTTTATTTTTTACTGAGGAATATGTGGCAATAACTTACCCGCCTGTGTGCAAAGGCACATTCTAAGTAACGGGCTGCATTTTACCTCAGTAAGAAAAAAAAAAAAAAAAAAAAAAAAAAAAAATATATATATATATATATACTGAGCTTTCAAGCTGTAGTGTGCAAGAGGCCTTCATAAACCTCTCACATTGTGAAATGAGTTACAACATGTTAAATAAACTATTTTTACTTGTAATGTTTTCTTGTTTTCTGACACTCAACATATATTACCAGTAGAGAAGAGGGACTATATAGGATCTAAATTTTTTTTTTTTATTGGCTTTAATACCGCACTTACTGTGCACTGCAAAAGAAATTCTAATAAACAGGAACCAACAGCAGCTCACAAACGTGTCTCAGCGTGGACCCCATCTCTCCCTGACAGATCACAGTGACTTCTCGCTGCCTTTCCACAAAATGGATAGAAGTTTTTATCATTTTTTTATCTAGTTTTTAACAGTTACCATTCTCTACAATGTTTTATATTATGTCAACAAAAAAAAACATTAAAAAGTTCTGGTCTACATATGATAATATTTCAAGGAGGAGCAATAATCATACATAACAGTAAGAGGTCTATGAGCCCCCCCAAAAATGGGAAAGTGGTGTCAGCAGAGGCACCCAAATGTGAAGAATCTGAGAAATGGATTCTGCATTAATTTGATATTTTTGGCTCACAGAACAGTATAAAACACAGTCAATGTTTTCTGTAGCACTACACTGGCCACTTCCTCAGCTGTGATGTGCGATCTACATCTCCTGCTGTTTGTTAGTGGGCACACTAGGAGCAGGAGAGACCAATCACAGCTATTTCAAGTGGTTTATGTACAATCCAGAAGACGTGGCCAACGTAGTGGCACGAAATGCATTGATGGTTTTTTTTATACCTTTATCTTTCCCATTTTTGGGAGCTCAAAGACCTCTTACTGTGCAACCTTTCTCTGCGCAGGAATAGTTCTATCCCCTGCAGGCTTTCACTCTAGATTGTCTGATTCCCCCCATTAGAGAGCTCAGCAACCTCAGTACATCATTGCATTTTACCTTCTCTATCTATATTTCATCCAATTATCTGGTATACCACTACACCATAAGAAACTCTACCGTGGCCTCTGCCTCTATCTTTTCTCTCCGTATCCTTGGAGGCACCCCAGATACAAAATTACAGTTTACCCCTGGTTCACATCTGTGCGGGTAGTCCCTCTCCCTCCCCAAAGGTCCGCAGTCTCTGGTCATCCCCTGTACTGTGTCCGCAGTCTCTGGTCCGCAGTCTCATCCCCTGTACTGTGTCCGCAGTCTCTGGTCATCCCCTGTACTAGGTCCGCAGTCTCTGGTCATCCCTGTACTAGGTCCGCAGTCTCTGGTCATCCCCTGTACTGTGTCCGCAGTCTCCGGTCATCCCCTGTACTGTGTCCGCAGTCTCCGGTCATCCCTGTACTGTGTCCGCAGTCTCCGGTCATCCCCTGTACTGTGTCCGCAGTCTCCGGTCATCCCCTGTACTGTGTCCGCAGTCTCCGGTCATCCCCTGTACTGTTACCGCAGTCTCTGGTCATCCCCTGTACTGTTACCCCGCAGTTCTCTGGTCATCCCCTGTACTGTGTCTGCAGTCTCTGGTCATCCCCTGTACTGTGTCTGCAGTCTCTGGTCATCCCCTGTACTGTGTCCGCAGTCTCTGGTCATCCCCTGTACTGTGTCCGCAGTCTCTGGTCATCCCCTGTACTGTGTCTGCAGTCTCTGGTCATCCCCTGTACTGTGTCCGCAGTCTCTGGTCATCCCCTGTACTGTGTCCGCAGTCTCTGGTCATCCCCTGTACTGTGTCCGCAGTCTCTGGTCATCCCCTGTACTGTGTCCGCAGTCTCTGGTCGTCCCCTGTACTGTGTCCGCAGTCTCTGGTCATCCCCTGTACTGTGTCCGCAGTCTCTGGTCATCCCCTGTACTGTGTCTGCAGTCCATTGGTTTCAGAATATTTTTTATCTTGTTTTTCTCCTCTAAAACCTAGGAGTGTCTTATGGAGCGAAAAATACAGTATTCAAGAAATAAAAATTCCATGGACTACAAGGGTTGAATGAATGATTTCATGGCTTCCCCCTTCAGGATGGCTCAGCACTAGCACACTGATGGTCAATGGGCCATGGAGTAAATGCTGAACAGTGCTTTTACCCTCCATAGAAAACATTTTAGTGATCCTGTCAATAGTACAGAGGAATAAAAGAAGAGAACGGAATATTTACCCTTGATAGAATACTCTCTAGTGATTCTGTCAGTGATCTCTTTGCTTTGCTCTTTAGCAGCTCCAGTTTGAAGCGCGAGGCACTGCTCTGCAGCTCACTCAGGGGGTTGGCTGTATTCTGCGAATTCTGCAATCATGGCAAAAAGTTTTTATACCAGCAATCAAAGGTTATTAGACAAACTATAAATGGCATTTTCCAAACATTTCTTTTCTCTGCAGCCTGGTGTAGACATTACCAACACGTGCTGACAATTCAGGTAGTTGTAACTACTACCATTCTAAGAACCTGTCGCTATGGTAATGAGGGGTTCTTAAAGTGGCTGTAAAGACTCAAGGTTTTTACCTTCATGCATTCTATGTACAAAGGTAAAAAACCTTCTGTGTGCAGCAGTGCCCCCAGCCCCCTCAATACTTGCCCGAGCCTCATCAAGATCCAGCAATGTGAATGACAACCTCAGCTGTCCCGTGTCTCTGCCTCATAATTAGCTGAGACAGCAAGTGGGACCCATTGGCTCCTGCTGCTGTCAATCACAGCCAGTCAGACAATTAGGAGAGAGAGAGAGGGGTGGGGCCAAACTGCTTGCAATGGGGGCACCCAACAGAAAGGAGGAGCCAGGTGTCAGTATGGCTGCATGGAGAGGGCGGAGCCTAGACATGGCGGCGTCGGAGAGCACGATGTGAGTGCTCTCCGATAATCTCATTCCCGACCACCCCGAGACCCTCATGAAGTGAAGCCCTACCTGATTGTGGAGGGACCTGGGGGGCGAGCGGCAGAGGCGGTGAGCGGAGCGTGTGCGGACATCCGGGAGGTGAACTTGCTGGGGAGATCCAGCGCAGACGCCGGGTTGCCGTGGGGGGGAAACGAAGCTGGGAGGCGTGAGCCGCAAAGGACGACTGGGAAGTAGAGACGCCGGCCGGTTCCCTCGTGGAGAGGTAGTGACAGGTCGGCTCCCCTGGCACCACATGAGTGAAAACCCGTGCGGCTAGAGGAGGAGAGATGCTGCAGGAGTAAGGGGCCAGCTACGGAGGACCCCTGGAGGGAAAGTGGATGCTGGCTGGCGCCCTGATGTGACAGGGTGTTGCCGGCGTATAGCTGCCAGTACCCCCTGGACGGCTGTTTGACCCTGGGGCAGGGAGACCCATAAATACCAGACGAACCACCCTCCTTCCCTGAGTCGACTTCTAAGGACCGAGAAAGGAGGAGGAAAGAAAGAAAAACAGTATCGGAAACCCTGAGGAATCCCCCCCCAGGACTGAGCAGCAGTGAAGACCTCCCACACAAGTATGGAGTCACCGTCCTGAGAAGGGAAGGGTGAGTGAAAAATGCTGGGAGCTTATTGTGTGGTGAACCCCTGAGTGATTTAGGCTACTAAGGGGTGAAGGAGGGGGAGGATTCCCAGGGGTTTGAAGATAAGAAGAGAGGAGGCCCAGGTGCCCTAGGAGAGTAAAGGTTATAGGAAAAATTGCAAGTCTACCAAGATATTTAAAGGATATGAAGAATAAAGGTCCCAAGGGAGCAGGGCCCAAAGGGTCCCAAAACAGGAACAATAAAGAAATATACATCATATGGAAATACTACGCCAGAAAGGGCCCAAGGTACAAAGGGGGAAATGGACACTAGTTCAGGAAGTAGTCCTAGATTATCAATGGGCTTGAATAGCAGCAGTAGCCAACAAACAGTGGATGGCCTGGGAAGGAAAGGATCTGAAGGTGAACTACAGGTACCAAATAAGAAGGAGATGACTGAAATGTTTCGAAATCTGGAAAAAAAAACGATAAAAACATGAAATGACAGCTATTCGAAACGATTTAGGACATCTGCTAGCAAGAATGGAAGAAACGGAGGAGAAAGTTAAAACCCAGGCCCAGAACATAGATAATCTAAGGAAAAAAATAAGCCAATTAGAAAATAACCAGAAAAAAATGATCTATAGGATGGAAGTTCAAGAAAATAAAGAAAGAAGGTGTAATCTTAGATTACGAGGAATCCCAGAGACTGCTAAAGGGGGAAACATTATACGAACTAGTTAAAAAAATTCTAAACTCCATAAGAGATAGACCTGAAACAGATGGGATCAAGTTAGACGGAGTATTTAGAATAGGAAAGTTCAATCAGGCTACTACCGAGAAGGAAAGACCGAGGGACATAATTGTCCAGTTCCAAAAATTTGGGGTCAAAGAGGAGATCTGGAAGAAGACCAAGGGAAGATCATTAATTAAGTTCGGGGACTTGAGTATCCAAATTTATGCGGACTTAACAGTAGAGACCCTAAGGAGAAGGAGATCCCCCTGAAACCCCTGTTGGAGCAGATGAGAAAACAGAATGTGCAGTATAGATGGGGTTCCTCAGCATTTCTAACTGGCTGGAAAAATGGGGTTACAGCGTATTTGCGATTTCCGGAAGATTTAAGAGATTTTTGCGATAGACTGGACTTGCATAGAATGGAGATAGCTGGTGGGGAAGAAGAAAAAGAAGACAAAGGGAAATATAACTAATGCAAGAAAAGAGGGACTGGCAGCAACGTGGGGGGGAAGGGGGGGAGGGAGAATTAAGAAGAAGTAGAGGTGAGATTTTTTTTTTTTTTTTTTTTTTTTTTCTCTCTCTCCACTCTCTCGCCACTGGCCTTCCTCCTCAGGAGGTCGTGAACCGCTTAGAGGATACGGTTAAAGGGTGGGAGGTAAAGAGTAAAGACTCTTGCTAAGTCTAGACTATAGAGATGAGGGAATCGGGTGGCTCGGAGATGAGCGTGAGCCGTACATAGGTGGAGCTTACGCCCTAAATTTTAATCAATGGTGGAAATGGATCCACAAATGATTTGTAGGCAGCTTATACGCCTAAAAATGGGAAGGGGAAAAAAAAGAGAGGGTGGGAGGGGTGGTAGGAGGGGGGAAGGGGGGGGGTGGGACTAATATTCTGCAAGTCATTTGGGCCTAATAGGAGGAGACGAATTAGAAGAGAGATAATAAAAATTAAGAAGGATGGATGAAATACAGTTTATAACATATAATGTGAATGGGGGTTAAATTGCCTGGGAAAAGATTCAAGTTGTTTAAAGAGCTACATCATAGGGCAACGTACAGTGGTATTTTTGCAGGAGACACACTTTTGAGATAGAATCTAATGTGAAACTAAAATCCAAATATTATCCTACATGGGTAATTATGCCGACTCTCCAACTAAAAGAGCAAAGGGGGTGGCAATAGGATTGGCAAAAAATATGAGGTTTGAGCTGGAAGATAGAAGGACTGACCCGGAAGGGAGATTCCTGTTTTTTGAGAAAGAGTTAAAACTACAGGGAATTGAATGCACCACTAGCCAATATATATTGCCCCAATAAGAAACCTGAGATCTTTCTAAAGGGTCTGTTAAAAAAAATTGATAGATTTTAAAAAAGGGCGTTTGATAATAGCAGGAGATTTAAACCTCTGTATGGACCCACAGATGGATGTAACCTCCCTGGTGCAGAGAGAAGGGGGTAGGTCCCTGAGAGCTTTGAGGAAGGTGATCCACGAATACCAACTGGTGGACACCTGGAGAATAATGCATATGAAGGACAGAGACTATACCTTCTTCTCTAATGCACACGAGATGTATTCGAGACTGGATTACATCTTAATAGATCATCAACTCATTGAAATGCTGGTTAAAATAGAAATAGAGACAAGAACTTTTTCGGACCATGCCCCAGTTGTGATGAAAATGGGATGGGGAAAAAGGTGGACGGGAGGTTTAGGCTGGAGGTTAAATGAGGCTTTACTCTTTGATGAGGATATTGTGCAGAGGATCAGTGAAGAGGATTAAGGTTATACTTTCCAGGAGAATGAAACGCAGGAAGTATCGACAGCTACAGTATGGGAAAGTTCATAAGGTATATATAAGAGGAATCCTGATTGCGATGGGAGCAAGGAAAAAAAAAGGAAAAAGAAGAGAGGGTTAGTGGACTCTAAAGGAAATCCTGGAATTGGAGTGGATACATAAGAAAAAAATAACAATAGAAACAAGACAGAAGTTAAGGGATAAAAAGATGAATTAGAGAGATTGATGGATGAGGAGAGGAGAAGAGTATATAATAAAGTATTAAGTGAAAGATATAGATGGGGTGATAGACCAGGGAAAAAATACTTAATGAGAGCTCCCCTGAATAAGAAAAAAAAAAAACAGAAACTATATAGAAAAGATAAAAAGCCCTAAGGGGGAGATAGCCCACTCAACTAAAGAAATCATAAAAGTATTCACGGAGTATTATAGAAAGTTGTATAACATCAGCCCCAAGGAACATCAAAAGAAATTAGAGAAGAGGTATTAATGAAAAAAGGAGGATATATTTAAAAAATGCGGGATTGCCAAAGCTTAGTGAAAACAACTGAACTCCTGGAGGTAGAAATCTCTCAGGAAGAAATAGAAGTGGCATTGAGAAGTACAGGGGGGAGGGAAAAGCCCAGGCCCGGATGGTTATAACCGTTAAGTATTATAAAAAATTTAGTGAAGTACTGTTAACCAAAGTTAAAGAAATATATGAATGACTTGGGAGACGGGATGGAGGTGAGGAGGGAATCCCTTCAGGCCCATGTAGTTCTCATCCACAAGGAGGGAAAAGATCCCTCTCAGTGCTCTAGCTACAGACCCATTTCCCTATTAAACACAGATACTAAGTTTGTACGCAAAGGTCCTAGCAACAGGCTGAAAGATCTAATGCCCGATTGGATCCATGGAGACCAGGTGGGCTTTGTCCAGGGGAGAGAGGGTAGAGACAATGGTTTGAGAACTCTGATGCTTATCCAGAAAAGTAGAAAAGGGAAAGCCCCGGTGGTGCTCTTGGCGATCGATGCCGAAAAGGCGTTTGATAGAGTGGACTGGGGCTTTATGATAGACAACTTGGAAGGGTTGGGGATTGGAGAGAGAGGAATGCGAGAATGGATAGGTAACTATATAAGGAGCCCACCGCAATCATTACGGTAAATGGGGAGAGGTCGGAATCCATTGGGATGTCCAATGGAACAAGACAGGGATGTCCATTGTCCCCCTTGCTGTATGTATTGACATTGGAACCCCTGCTGTCAATAATAAGGAATAGTGGAGCGGTAAAGGGAATCCAGATAGAAAAATATAGAACATAAAGTAGCGGC